TTAGATAAGCTTTATTTGTAATATTTTATATTATCCAATCTTACTCTAATGAGCTTTAAAGAAAGAATCCCAATTTAAGAATCTAATTAAACGGAGTAATTTATCTTATTCTGGTTTTTTTGTTTCTGAACCGATTTGTACAAATGTGATGTCATTTAAAAAGCTCTGAAAAGCAGATTTTTTTAAGTTAAATCTTAGGTTTCACATCTTGATAATTTATTTTAGACAAAGCAAAATTTAATGGAATGCTTTACTTTTCGTTTATTTGATTTACATTTATTTTTGCGAGTTAATTTTATATCGACAAAAATTGAAATTTCAAATTGAGTTGAAAATAAAGAATTAAAAAAATTTTGAATAAAAAAAGATTTATAAAATTGTTGAGTTAAAATAATTTAGAGTTAAATAAGTTTTTTGCCAATGCTAAAGAATGGCATACAAAAATAAACACAAAGTCCTGGTTGATGTAGAAATCTTATAAATATCCTAGCTTTAAATAATATATAATTAAAATTTTTATATTAAGTAAAAATGTAGGGGGATTTTTGAGGTGAAAAATTCGATTATACATATGTATAATAGCTCATTCGAAAGAACTCCTTGAGCTCAGTCAAAACACCCCAAAATCAACAAAATCTAAGTTGATTTGACAAAGTTATGATTGTTTGTTTTAGCTCCTTACCCATGGTCTCCAGGAAGGTTTTTGCTGCGGAGGAAGCCAGAGACGCCCAACGCAGGTGTGATAGGAATCGGATTAAGTTACGAGCCCAGAACCAGAAGTGAGTCGCAATTCCGATGTCCGAAGCTTTGATGAACTGTGTCAAGCTTCATTCCTTAGAATATTGGATACGATAAACATAAATAAATTTGTTTTATTTTGTGTATTGCCAAATTTATCAGAAAGAAATGCGGAATAAACGTTAATTTTTTTATATTCTCCAATTTTTTAAATTTAATTCTAAAATTGCCCAGTTCTGAAAATATTAACACCACAGACTAACAAAAATTAAATTCTAAAATTCTAAGCTAATATTTTGTTCTGTGATGTAATGGGCTTTCTTCAAAAAAACTGCTTCTCAACTTTTAATTCCACAATTTTTCCGCTCAAGTTCTTTTTCCTTTTCCCTTTCCTCTTTTGATTTTTGGAACTATAAATTAAAATTAAATAATAATCTAAGACATATAGCAGATTAGTTCCAAAAGCTATGTACACCGGTAACAGTCCGTAACTAGATCAGTCCTGTAACTGAAGCTCTGCTTGTTTCCAGCCGCTAACTAAGGAAAAATTCTGTCCCAGAAATACTAGCTAAAAGAGCAATACTGTCCCTTATCCTCATTAACTGCTTTAACATTCCCCAAGATTTTAAAAGCAACTGAATCTATTTTTACCTCCTCGACGTGTTGTAATGATATCTCTCATCTCTGTTTCCAACGTAATAAAGCTCAAATCACGTATGCGTTCTCGAATCTATTTAAAAATTTAATGAAAGTAGGCTGTGCTTATTTAAGACAATAGAGCTTACTTCGGGCCGAGGGCCAGAAGAATGATCAATTTAAAAAAGCGAGGGCCGGAGGCCAGAGCAATGAAAAGGCAGGGCAAACTTTGACGTTTCTAGCAGCGCGCCCCAAAGCTTTCCAACGTGCAGAGACAAATTCAAACCCAAAGCAAAATTAAACCGCCATTGCATACGATCAGATGTAGAGCTCCTGCATATAGTGAGCGAAAGCGCCTAGCAACAACTAGCAGGTGGTCGCAGGTTCAATCCTGCCCGGTGGCTAAACTTTTGCAAACTCTTTCTTATTTATTTCTAATAATGGCCTAAAAGTTATCAATGCAAGATTTTAACCTATCACGACTATGAATATGCCAAAAAATTTTCGTATATAGGATTGTTTCGTCTAAAAATATGAAAAAATCCCTGATAAGAAATTTTTGATTCAAACACAAATTTATTTTTTAACTACCTTCTCTGAATGGATTAAATTATTTTCCGGAATTGGCAAAATTTCACCCAATCCCATTTTCCATAGTTCAATAATATATTTAAGCTCATTCTAAGTAAATAAAATTTAAAGATGATAAATTGTTTAGAAATAAATACCTCACGCTCAATTAAAACATTATCAGTAATTATTTTCAACATTGCCAAATATGCACCAAAACGGCAAAAGATTCTTGCATTCCTTTTATCCGTTTTAATGTCATGGCCCGTTACGTTTGGTTCACGTGTATCAGGTTGAATAGTTCTATGAGAACCTTCATATCTCATAGAACCTTCATCATAAAGAAGTTGAAACGATCTACGATCGAGATTATCGGCTTCCTTCAGCTTATTAAGCAACCAATCATTACAAAAAAATCTTCCTTTATTATAAACAACATTAAGAAATTTATCGCCGCCTACGACGCGATTAGAAAATCTTTTATCAATTTCAACAAGAATGACTTTAGAACTGAAAACTAAGTCGTAAGCATCCTTAAATTATAATAAATTATTAAATTGGAAGCAATGTATTGTATGTTTTTAATTTTAAATTATTTATATTATGTAAAAATATTTTTAACCAAAAAAAGTTTCCTACATATTTTATCAAGTTCCTTACTTAAAAATTAGGCCATTCTTATAAGAAAACCTACATTCGATGTTAAATGTTTTCTAATAGCCGCCAACACTTGATTAACATAAAATTCAATATCGTCTTGTTCTGGTATCATCACTTTAAAATATTTTTAAGCAAATTTAAAAATATTTGTATTGGATACTTTTTAAATTTTGTTGAAACTGTTAGAGGAGATAAAATCTAAGCGATGATAAGATTAAATGGTACACTTTGACTTTTGATTAAAAAATTTTTTGTGGATTTATGTATTTGTTTAGGAGAAGCTCAAACTATTTATTTGCTCAAACTACTATCAAATGCTCAAAACTATTGATTAAAATAAAATTCAATATCCTCTCGTTCTGGTATATGCCCTGAGCACAGAAAAAGTATTGGCCACAAATCCAGCTTTTACCCCAAAAAACTCACAAGAGCCTATTTTTTATTTCTAAACCGAATCTATAAATCAACTGACCCTTTTTAGTTTTTCTCTTTGGCTGTGAGGGGCCTGCTTCTTCTCCTTCTAGTTCTTGAACAATATTTTGAACCCACTCATCAGGGTTATTTTTTCTATATTCTTCCATGGCAGCGGCATAAATTTCTTTGTCTTTTCTTTCCTTTTCTTCTCTTCTAGAGGAGCGAAGATTTTCAATTTCCTTTTCTTCTGTATCTGCACTTGACGAGTAAGTTAATAATTGAGTTGGTGGATTTTCGAAAATTGTTTGTTCCAACAGAAGTAGACCCAGAACAGAAGTAGGTCGGAATTCCGATGTTCGTAGCTTTGATGAACTGTGCCAAGCTTCATATCTTAGGAATACTTGGATACAATAAACATAAATAATTTTTCTTTATTTTATGTATTGCTAAATTTATCAGAAGGAAATGCGGATAAACATTAACAATTCTTTATATTTAACAATTTTTTAAAACTAATCTAAGATTGCCCAGTTCTCAAAATATTAACACCACAGACTAACAAAAATTGAATTCTAAATTTCTAAGCTAATATTTTCTCTGTGATGTAATGGGCTTTCTCCAAGAGACATGCTTCTCAACTTGTAATTCCACAGTTTTTCCGCTCAAGTTTTTTTTCCTTTTCCCTTTCCTTTTTTGATTTTTGGAACTATAAATTAAAATTAAATACTAATATAAAATATATAGCAATTTAATTCCAAAAGCTATGTAGTCCGGTAATAGTCCAGTAACTGAAGATTCTGCTTGTTCTAGCCGGTAACTTTTGGACTAGCTAAAGGAGAAGTAGCTAGCTTAGATAAGCTTTGTTATATTTAAAGGTGACTTCCCCATCCTTGTTAGACATTTTGGGTTTTTTCATAATTTTTATTTAATAAACCCGGTTCATTGGGTTTTTGGACTTGTCAATGGTACAAGAATGATTGACAAGAAATTAGGAGACGGTATTCTGAGGGTTGAGGTTGTAACCGGTTCTGTGGCTGGCTCAGGAAATATTTATATCTTTCAAGAGTATGATGCGATCACGAAGATCCTAAACCAGATGGAGTTAAGTCCAGATGGTTGCAGTTTCCTGTTCGTCTTCATATGAAATGATGATCATTAATGCCTAAGGCCAAACTGCAACATGAGTCGGACTTGACCTTACACATCAAGTGTTCGGTCATGTTAAATTTTATACAGCTCTTTCTAGAGTTAGTACAGGTGATTCGTTAAAGGTTTTCGCACCATATGTCAATGAGAAGATAAATCTAAGAGTAAGATGATAAACCTGGATCATTGGGTTTTCGGGAAACGGAGCTGCTTTAACATTCCCCAAAATTTTAAAAGCAACTATATCTATTTTTTACCTCTTCGATGTGTTGTAATGATATCTCTCATCTCTGTTTCCAACGTAATAAAGCTCAAATCACGTATGCGTTCTCGAATCTATTTAGAAATTTAATGAAAGTAGTATCTGCGTATTTAAGACAATAATTTTAGATCCGGGTCTAAAAAACCGGATTTTAGGGAGTTTGTTCGGGAAATTTTGGTCAGGATATGAAAAATTTTAGAAATCAGGAAACAGGATCTGGGTTTTTTCAAATTCCGAACTCTACATATAAGTAGGCTTAATTAAGTAAAACTTTGATATTAATCTAACTAATACATAATTGGGAATATTTTCAAATTAGTAATCTAGCTAGGACATAGCTAATTCCAATTATGGGCTTAAAAGTTTTAAATTTAAGACTAAACTATCACGACTATGAATATGCCAAAAAATGTATTCATCTATAATTATGAAAAAAATCCCTGATAAGAAATTTTCTTTGATTCAAACACAAGTTTAATGCTTAACTACCTTCTCTGAATGGATTAAATTATTTTCCGGAATTGGCAAAATTTCACCCAATCCTATTTTCCAAAGTTCAATAATAAATTTAAGTTCATTCTAAATAAATAAAATTTAATGCTGATAACTGTTTCGAAATAAATACCTCACGCTCAACTAAAACATTATCAGTAATCACTTTCAGCATTGCCAAATATGCACCAAAACGGCAAAAGATTCTTGCATTCCTTTTATCCGTTTTAATGTCATGGCCCGTTACGTTTGGTTCACGTGTATCAGGTTGAATAGTTCTATGAGAACCTTCATATCTCATAGAACCTTCATCATAAAGAAGTTGAAACGATCTACGATCGAGATTATCTGCTTCCTTCAGCTTATTAAGCAACCAATCATTGCAAAAATATCTTCCTTTATGATAAACAACCTTCAGAAATTTATCGCCACCTATGAGGCGATCAGAAAATCTTTTATCAATTTCAACAAGAATGGCTTTAGAACTGAAAACTAAGTCGTAAGCATCCTTAAATTATAATAAATTATTAGATTGGAAGCAATGTATTGTATGTTTTTAATTTTAAATTATTTATATTATGTAAAAATATTTTTAACCAAAAAAGTTTCCTACATATTTTTTCAAGTTCCTTACTTAAAAATTAGGTCATTCTTATAAGAAAACCTACTTTCGATGTCAAATGTTTATTAATAGCCGCCAACACTTGATCAACATAAAACTCAATATCGTCTTGTTTTGGTATCATCACTTTAAATTTTTTAAAAGTAAATGTAAAAATATTTGTATTAGATACTTTTTAAATTTTGTTGAAACTGTTAGAGCGAGATAAAACTCTAAGCGATGTAAGATTAAATGGTACACTTTGACTTTTGATTAAAAAATTTTGGGGATTTATGTATTTTTCTAGAAGATGAGTGATTGTGCAGTTAATTCGTCAACTAAATTTCTTTAGCTATGGATTTCAAATTTGATTTGGACATATATAATTCAGTCTTTGACTTCATTGGAAAAATATCAAAGCTTCAAAACTACTTGATTAACATAAAATTCAATATCCTCTCGTTCTGGTATATGCCCTGAGCACCTCTTGGCAGTTATTGCTAGGCGCTTTCGCTCACCACGTACAGGTGCTTTACCAACTGAGCTACCGGGACGCTGCTTTCACCTTCTCTTTTAATAGATCTTAAACCACCGCCTAAACCACTGCCTTAACCACGCCAGCTGGATCTCTCTTCCTTACAAGAGAAAAAGTATTGGCCACAAATCCAGCTTTTACCCCAAAAAAACTCACAAGAGACAATTTTTTATTTCTAATCCGAATCTATATATCAACTGACCCTTTTTAGTCTTTCTCTTTGGCTGTGAAGGGCCTGCTTCTTCTCCTTCTAGTTCTTGAACAATATTTTGAACCCACTCATCAGGGTTATTTCTTCTATATTCTTCCATGGCAGCGGCATAAATTTCTTTGTCTTTTCTTTCCTTTTCCTCTCTTCTAGAGGAGCGAAGGTTTTCAATCTCTTTTTCTTCTGTATCTGCACTTGACGAGTAAGTTAATAATTGAGTTGGTGGATTTTCGAAAATTGTTTGTTCCAATGTCAAGGGAGCTTTAACACAGCAATCTCAAGTTAAATAATTATTAAAGTCTAATAATTCTAATAATTATCTCAAAGAAGTCTAATACAGAAGTCTAATAATTATCTCAAATTTATTCCAAATCACACAATATCTGCACATAACATTAGACTAATAATGCCTAGGGGCTTTAGTGCATCTATTGTTGGATATAGATTTTTCAAAATCTCAATCTAAAATAGATTATATGTTTTTAAAATTCGTTTGGTCATTATTTTGAGGTATCTGTGTATGCGATAATTCTGTATATGTCTGAATCTTACTAGTGTTGTTTCGAAACAGAATAAACTTATTAAGCAGGACATTCAGTTTACTATAAGCTCTCAGTTATGAAAAGGGATGCATATCATAAGAAATTCTCGCATATCCGTTGCTTAAATGAAATTTTTATTAATGATGTTTTGTATCTAGAATCGAAGTAATACTTTTATATTTTTTATAAAAACAAACTTCCTGTATCAACGTCCTGCAAGCATTGATATAAAAGCAAAAGTATGCAAAATTGCTTCAGCATGTATTTATTTAAGGTTAGATTGTCTATTGAAAATTCTGAAAAATTGTTTGAGAGAGAAAAATAAAGAAATACTAGTCAATAAGCTAATAAAATAATTTCTCGGTTGCAGCACGACGGTAAATTAAAGCTTACGCGCTCCCAAACAGAAATATATAAGAATCAACAAGAATTAGAAACAATAACGAGAAAACTAGATCGAATTCTGGATCTCTCAACGCTAGAATTCTTAAAATAATGGGGAATGTAAATTTAAAATAAAATTTTATATAGGTTTAACTTATAAATGTCTATAAATATTATTGACAATCCCGACAGACGTCAAGCCTTGTAAATTAATTTTTCGAAATTTGGAAATCAAACATCAAACCCTTTGTAATTTTATTTATGCCGCCCATTTTATCGTCGCTAAGCAAAATACAAAATTTACCTCTCTTTGTAATACTTTTACCGCTAATATTTGTACTTTTTGTCTATGTGGAATTATGGCTATCAAATTGCACTTTTATTTATAAAAATATATTTTTTTCTAAAATTTTAATTTGTGTTTTAATCCTTTTCTTTATTGCTTCCGACATTTCTCAACTTTGAAAATAATTATCAAAAATTAACTCATTCAAATAAACCGGGATATGTACAGAAGTCAGAAGTCAACTCTAAAATCGAAAATAGGCAGAAATAGGAAAATTAAAATTAATGCTTTACGCTGCAGACCAAGCTAAAAACATGTTTTTTGAAGTATTAATTATGCCAAGCTTGAAGAAAAAAGGCATTTGCCTATTAATCATAGTCTTAATAATATCTAGTCTTAATAACAGACACAAAAGTTTTAAGTTTAGTTTATGTAACTTTTGTTTTATTTACTAAATTTAGAAAGGGATAACAGTTTAAAATCCCAAATCCTTAGGAGCTTGATCTCTGCGAGTTTTCGTCTCCTAGAAAACAGTTGCCAACTACGGATGGAGGAATAAAGGGTAGATTATGCTCGAATCTTACTAGTGTCTAGGAGTATTTTTAATACTACATATGAATATTTTTAATAAAAATCATCTAATTAAATCCTTAAAGTCGTTGGAATTTTATTTTGTAATTAGCACTAGTTTTTATCAAATTAAGGAATTTAATTAACGAATAACTACATATATTTTTAATGTTAAAATTCAGATGATTAAATTGATTATTGTTTATTTCTTATATTTACTTTCCCTATTGAATGATAAATGTGTTGGGAAAAATGTTAGTATTGTAATAAAAATAAAAGACGATTGGGCAGAAAAAAGAGAATTTATTTACTTGAAAAATGTTGAATTAAAAGAACGTTTTGTATTGTACAAAATTTTAAAGATAAATAAATATGACCTTAGCTATAATTATAGTATTAAAGGGTTTCTGTGTCTAATTGACATAAACCAAGAAAAAAATATTTTTAATGTTGAGATAGATTATGGATCAGAATTGGCTGAAAAATTAAAAAGGAAAGTGTTTTTAAATATTGCCGAAAATAAAATTCTTCAAACTATTCAGCCTGAATTTGAAAAACAGGTATTTTTGCATGATTAGTTGAATATAAAGTCTGAAAATCATAAGAAAAATAGATTATTATACTTTTTATTAATTTAATCTACTTTCTAAGGCTAAGTTGTCATTCTGGGTTCATTCACCCATATCCACTTCAATCTCAAATCCCAAAATTCCCGGATTTCGAAGTTCGAACTCCGAATTTCGACTTTCGACTTAATCCTTTATCCCATTAAACTCCCCTGATCATGCTCTCTTGAATGACTATCCACTTGACTGTACTTCCCACTTCCGAAAATACCGGATTCCGAAATTCGACATTCAAAAATCCGACTTTCGTCATTATCCTTAATCCCTCCAAACTCCCTGTCAATAATTTATTTTACAAAAGAATGTAAGTAGAAAATAAATTATGACTAAAATATCGAAAAATGAAGAAGCAAATTATGACTTCGTGTCAAACTACGGGATAGGGCTCTATATCCAAGAATTATTCAATTATTAAGCAACTAAACTTAATATTAATTTTTTCATTAAAGTTGCTCAGATTTACTGAATTTACAGTGTGCGCCATAAGTAACCGGACACTTTTAAATTCCTTATAACTTTTTTTGTTGTCAATATTTTTAAACGATTTTTTGCTTATTTTTTAGCCCATTCAATTCTCTATCAATTCTCTATCAAAAAAACCCTTATTTTCGTGAATCTTGGGGTAAAAGTCAATAAAGACTATTACTTGCGAGAAATCTTGCAGCGTGTTCTGAAGCCTCGGTTCAAGAGCCATTTCGGTTGCAGGGTCTGGATTTTCCAACAGGACTCTGCTCCGGCACACAAGGCGAAAGAAGTTCAGGACTGGTGCAAGGCCAATTTTCCTGGGTTCATCAGCGCTCAGGAATTACCGCCCCACTCCCCGGATTTAAACCCGAGGATTATTCTGTTTGGTCAATTTTGGAGTCCAGGGTCTATGCTAAGCCTCAAAAAAGTTTGGATCTCTGAGCCATTCTCTCACCCGGGAGTGGGACTTAATTAGACTCAAAAAGGTGCGTGCTATTTGCGAAAATTTTTCTTCGCGCCTTCGCCTCTGTATCAAAGCCAAGGGTGGGCATTTCGAAACTTCTTGATTATTTTTGTTCCTTATTTAATTCTCTATCATCTGATTGTATTTTGATTTTATTTGATTGTGTTTTAATAAAGTTATGAGAGAAAACAAGTGTCCGGTTACTTATGGCGCACCCTGTATTAAGAAGGAGAATAAATATTATGAAACTTCTATATTAGACGAGAGTATAGAAAATATAAAAACAAATAAAAAAGAATTATTAAAAGAAAATATAGAACATTACAAAAACAAACTTTTATCAAGTTATTGGACGGAAATTAATTTAATTGGATATAAAATTGAATTGATAGAAAAACAAAAATTTGAATATCCGAATGACAAATTGAAAAGTAGAATTATTTACATCTGCAGTGAAATAAGTAAAAAGTTTTTTTGAATTTTTTATTTGTTCATATTGTTATTCTTTATTGTAGGAGGAATAATTGAAGGAAATAAACAAAATTGCTTCAATTGTAGAGTCACATTTAACAGAAAATGGTATAAATACCTAAAGAGACATTATTTATGCCCAGCATGTAAAGAATATAAACTGTATAATGG